AAAGTGCCTGCCTGGCAAGCACAAGGTCGTGAGTTCGGTTCCCGGTACCGGAAAAAAAAAAAAAAAAAGAAAGGATGCTCTGGTGTTAATGCAAAACTAGGAAGTAGTGGCAACAGCAACAAAAGCTGTATTTATGAGGTCAAAGTACATGTATGTCAATTAAATATCATTATTATCCCTCATGTTACTGACGGAGAGCTGGACATGAGACAAACAGATTAAGTAATCTGGCCATTTAAGTAGAAAAGTCAGGGAGGAAGGAGGGTATGGCAATTATTTCATTAGGGAGGTCTTTTTAAAGATATTTAAAATGGAACGCAAGTGATAAATGAGACTCAGCCAGGAAAGAGATACAAATCAAACTACAAATGATGTAACAGATCTAAAAGATATTTAGAATAGGATTTGGATAGAGCTCAGTAGCAATCGAAAACACAATATGCCTAGGAAAGCCCCGCGTGGTGGCACACATGCCTATAATCCCAGCACTCGGGAGGCTGAGGCCGGAGGATCGTCCCAAGTTCGAGGTCGGGCTGGACTATACAGTGAGTTCAAGGCCAGCCTGAACTGTATAGCGAGTCTCCCTTCTCAAAAAAAAATATGGCTAGGACGCACAAGGCCCTGGGCTTAACCAGCAGCACAGTATCAAAAAAGAAAAAGAGGGTTGGAGGACACAGTACGGCTAGACGTTGGGAAGAAAATGTGGGAGAGCAGGCCGAAGTAATACGCTGCTACCCGGCTAAAGCAAGTGAGGGCACTGTATCAGGACAATAAAGAATCCGCTAAAAATGAAAATATCATTAAGATTTAATGTTCCTTACAAAATACTCTATTTATTATCTTAAAACAGAAGTAAATGTGAACTATAACACAAGATACATATGTCAATTTTTAACTCTAAAATCAGGGTGCTTTCAAGACTGGGGGTGGTCACAGAATGATTCTCAATTTCACCGTGAAGACCTGAGAGTTTGTGTGCCCTCTACATTCACATGGTGAGGACCTCTGTGGGGCAACCGCAGGCAAAGGAGGCCACAGGGTTGGAGGTGGACATCGCTGGTGCCCTCTCTCCCCGCCCACTGCACACGCACTCGCAGAGAAGGTCATATAAGGACGCAGCAAGAAGGCAGCTGTCTTGCAAGACAGCCAGAAGCATTGCCCAGAACCCAATCATCTAGAACTCTGATCTCAGAACTATGAGGGACAAAAACGTCTGCCATTTAAGCCACCTGATCTAGACTAACATAGGTTTGTTGTCTAAACCTACTGTCCAAAAAAAACCACATTCTGTGGTGGCACACGCCTGTAATCCCAGCACTCCAGAGGCTGAGGCAGGAGGATCAATCCAAATTCAAGGCCAGTCTGGACTACAAAGTGAGTTCAAAGGGAGCATGAACTACATAGTGAGACCCTGTATCAAAACAAACAAAATTTGAGCAACTTTGTTCAAGATAACAATATGTAATGCAACAACCATTGTTAATTCCTATCATCTTGTTTTGAAATCCTGTCATTTTTATTGTTTTTGTGTTGGGGTTTTTGTCTTGTTATTTTGTGATTTTCTTCTCTTTAAAAATAAAAATTTAAAAAAAAAAAAAACCTACCATATTCTATAGGTGAAAGAAGACCAGTGAAAAAGGTTTTAGATTGAATTTGTAAAGTCACAAGAGGCTATGGTTCTTGCTCCCTGATGAAAACAAACTGGAAAAATAACAAAATCGTAAGTTTTTCAAAATCTACTTGAAAGTTCAATAGAAAAGAAAAAAGCATTCAGTGAAAGCAGCTAACCTCACCTCCGGCAGGAAGAGGAGATCTGCACAGTAGGTGAGCATACGGAAAACTCAGTGAACTTTTACAACTTTGCACTGGTCCCAAGAATCTGATACCACAAAGAATGCAGCTCTCAAAATGGTACATCTCTGCACCCAACCAACCAATAGGTTCAAGATTAATAATGCCAAAATGTCGACAGAAGGAGAACTGGCAGTTGTTGAAAAAAAAAAAATGGTAAACAAAATTGTCATAGTTAAAATATTCTACAAAATGATAGACCAGCTTTTTTCTTGGGAGGGGGGTATTGTTGTGTCTGGTTTTTGATTTTGTTTTTTGTTTTTGAGACAGGGTCTTGCTATATAGTCCAGGCTGACCTTGAACTCACTATGTAGTCCAGGCTGGCCTCAAATTCTCTCAGATCCTCCTGTCTCAGCCTCCTGAGTGCTGAGATTACAGGCATGCATCACCACACCTAGAGGAAGACCATCTTTAAAAACAGAAACACACAACCCATTCTTACATGTTTTCAGTTTCTTTTATATCAAGTTCCCTAAACTTGTAAAAAGTATTCTAACAAACATTATTGTTACTATCAGCCATATTCATGTACCACTGCACCATGAAAATGCCATTTACAAAGTGTAGAGAATTGTTAGAGGTTTAATACAGTTAAAACTTCTCAATATGAATAAACTTAAAAATGTGTATGGGTGCATGTATGGGTAAAGAAAAACAAGTATTATTTGAGGATCTCTAAGTTACATTTCAAAAAAGAAAAATTTAAATAAAAACTCATGTACTACATTAAGGCCCCCTTAAATCATATACTTTTATACAAAGTAACAATTAATAAAAGTTGAGAACCTAAGAAACAGATTACAGGCAGTAAAGAAAAAAGTCAAAGATAAACACCATCTGATGCCTAACTGGGAGGAACACAGGTTCACAACAGAAAGAGGCATTTAAACAAATGATTGTCACAAACCAAATTACATCATACTTATAAACACATATAAATATTGATATTTCAAATTTTATCAAATAAACACAAATGTAGAAGGTCAAACATATCAAATGGCAAAATGTAGATCAAAAATAAAATCTTTTGAACAGAAAACTGCTGAGAATGACAGAGATGACCATGACAATCTTTACATTGTTTAATATGTAGTCTCCATTGTCAGAAGCACTCTAACTGCAGCTAAAGGAAATATGCACTGTAAAGGAGATATGACACAACAACGGGATATAAAAGTGAGCCATAGGCATACTACGCCAAGTAACTGCTACAAGTGATGTAACCTTCAGAGAAGTTCTTCAAATTTAATGCCCACATTTAAGAAGTTTCAATAAATCTATTCGTTAACTCAATTCTACAGATCACTAGAAAAATCTTTCTACCTTCAAAAAGGACTAAACTATGAAAATCAAAGTGCTCTATATTATTCTCTTGCCATCATTCTTTATTTTAAAAAATGAATGGAAAGGGGAAAAAGTAAGTCCTTCCATCAGTTTTAAGTGATATGATCATTTCTGAATAACAAGATACAAATGGCAGGCTCTTCAGATACATCAACTAAATGGATAATATATGAAAAGACTATAAATTTATAAAGACTGTCAGTTTTATCTATCAGTTAGAAACAAATTATTTTAAAAACAATTCATTTTCCACCACTAGAAGTATTACAACTACTGCTTACTAAGAAAATTGGTAAGTAATGAAAAAGAAAGTACTGGCATTTATCCTATCTATTGCAATATGTAGAACCGTAGTTCATTCCTGGTTAAGAGAACTCTTTATAGAAAACTAATCTAATAAATGTAAGTAACATAACAGAACTAGAAAAATTATCTTTCTGTAACATTCAATTCAATTAAAAAACTTCAGAACTGAGGTCAAAATAACACTCCACAAAATGCTTGCTAGGAATTCCTATCTCAAATATTTAGATATCTGATGTTCACTCCCTTATCCATTTGACCAAACACAGTATCACAAATAAGGACACAACGTGACACAATGTTTCCCCTACTGTGACAAAGTAATGGACACAGCAATACCTACGAGCTTCAAAAATAAAGAAAAACCTCTCTAGTCGGAATGGTTTTGAGCATTTCTAGATCTAACTTACAACTAACGAAAATCCCGGGGAATACAGAAATCAATACAATGAAAAATTCTGACAAATGCAGAAATTTTGATGAGGCAATTATTCAGGGTATCACAAAAAGAAAATAGAAAGGTGAAAGTTATATGCTATGCTAAATGGAATTTAAAGATATATATGCATTGTAAGGAATGAACCTTGATTACAATGGTTCAAAGTAGTTACAGAACACGTTTCTGACATTTTTAAATTATGAGTTGGATATTAGAAAATAGAAAGTGCTGATTTTCTGAGGTATAATATATTTGGTTATGTAGAGGAAGGCATACTCTAAGAAAATATATGTTTAATTAGAACAATATGAAATGCTCTAAAGTAGGTAAAATAATCAAATGTTTCAGACAAACACACACATTAGTATATAGAGACAAATACAAATGTGAACACATGTTTAGGTGGTGTGGTAATACATGGATGACCATTATACTATCGCTATAGGCTTAATTTTGTGTTTGAAACTTTTCATAGTAAGTTTAGCGAAAATATGACATTCTACATTGCTGGAACATTGGTCCTTATCAAGGGCCTTCAGAAAAACCAGAAAGGGGCTGGGGATTTAGCTCAGCGGTACAGCACCTGCCTGGCAAGCGCAAGGTCATGGGTTTGATTCCTGGTACCAGAAGAAAAAAACAAACAGACAAAAAAAAAACTTAGAAAAACTAACATCAAAAGATGGGGAAAAATAAAAGTAAATGAGCACAGAAAAGGCTGTAAGTTACAAAATACCTTCAAGTTCAAAGAAAATGCCATTCATATACATTAACAATCTAGTTTGGAATATTAAAACGTTCTTGGCATAATTATAACCCAAAAATTAATCCCACGCAACAGCACTGCATACCTACTGCTACTATTCAATTACCACGTTACTAAGAGTGACGTGGACGGGTTCCAAGTGGCATTATGAACTCATTCATTCAGTATCATTTGCTAAGCACTACCAAATTTTCTGACATATATGGTCACATGAAGAAAAGTTAGATTCCACTTTTCGTATTTTGGATTTCAAAATACATTGCCGTGAAATAAACGGCAAAGCAAAAGCAGAACACTTACCACTTGTATTAAAAGCCATACAGCACACTGGCTTCTCATGCGCAGGGAAGTGAGCCACAATGCCGTCGCCATCAGAGTCCTCACTCACGATCACCTGCAGAAGTGCATTGAAGACATGAGCTAAGACTGTACACAACTGTACCGTAATGCACTGACCAAAGGACATGCTTCCACTCTGCTGGGAGATTATTCTTATTGGTATAAGGTGAGCAGTTCACTTGAGCAATGAGAAGATACACGCCCTTAAGAGAAAGTCCTCTGAATTCTAGAAATAGTCCGTTGACTTGGCTGTAAATGACACAGACAATTACTTATTCAGTTAGAGGTTAAGGGAGAAAAATCAACCACTTCTCATTCTTTGCAAAATGTAATCAAATACTGCTTTACTCAAGGACAATTTTACTGTGCAAATACTGGAAAAATCTTGTATTTTTTTGCCCATAATGGAAATTGACTATGAACACAGAAGAAAATATAACTTAAGGTAAACTCAAATAAACAGAATAAATTCAAGACTTATCACTTAGTATATAGATGGGCAAAGGAGTTCTTTGAATACTGCACTACTCAGGTTATAAAAGTAGAACAAAAATTACGGTGAAAGAGGTAGGTTTGTATCTCCAAAGGAATTTCTTTCATTTATTTGCCTGAATTTTGTAAGTACATTGAAATGTAAGTTACATTTCATAAAATTTGTCCATTGTTGGTATACAGGACAACCATTTCTTTAAAATGTTTTTATTTACCTAATGATCAAGAAAAAAATCTGTCACAATATTGGATCATGATAGTCAGATATCAAGACCATTTTCCTTTCCTAAAATAAGCACTGGGAGCTCTAGTTTTGCTCCATATACCACATCTGTACTCTATGAATTTCAATATATTCTATTTTCATTCAATTTAAAATACTTTCTAGGAAATACAGTGGTGGACACAGAAACATACACAACTAGAGACACTATTTTGGCCGATGGTGTCAAAAGTGTACACTGCAGGAAAGACAGCCTCCTCAACAAACAGCGCTGGAAAAACTAGAGATGCATATATATAAAATTGAAGCTAAGTCCTTAATTCTCTCCCTGTATAAAATCAACTCTAAATTAATCAAAGACCTAGGTATATGACATGAAACTTTTAAACTCCTACAAGAGAACACAAGAAACAATTGTGGCCACAGGCACAAAAAGTTCCTTAGTAGGATTTCAACAGGACAGCAAATAACAGCAAGAATCAACAAATGAGACAACACCAAACTTAAAGCATCTTCTCCACAATCAACAGGAAACAGCCCACAGAATGAAAGAGAATCTTTACTACTCACTCTTTAGACATCCAGAACATATGAAATATTAAAAAAACTTAACACTAAAAAATAGTACCATCAACAAACGAGCAAATTAAAGAAACATTGCTCAAAAGATGCATAAATGGCCAATAAAAATATGGGAAACATGTTTAAACTCTTTAGTCATCAGGGAGATGCAAATCAAACTACACTGAGAGTCCATCCACCCCAATCAAAAACAGCTATCATCAAGAATACAAAACACAGTCTACTATAGCAGCACACACCTCTAATCCCAGTACTTGGGAGGCCGAGGCAGGAAGACTGCTAAGTTCAAGGCCAGCCTGCACTACATAGTGAGTTCCAGGACAGTACGAACTACACAGTGAGCCCTATCTCAAGAAGAAAAACAAAAAGAATATGAAAAACAATGAAGTGCTAATGAGGATACAGGGGGAAAGGAGCCCTCCTACACTGTGGATAAGAATGTAAAACAGTGAACCCATCGTGGCTTTATGGAAATCAGAATGGAGGGTCTCAAGAAACAAAAAATGGAGCTACTATTTGATTCGGCCATATCACTCCTCAGTATAGGCCCTGAAGAAGTAAATTCAGCACACTGTGGAGACACTTGCACATCCATATTCAGCATACTGTGGAGACATGAAAAACACTACAAGTAAGGCAGCACAATTAACGAAAGCTAAGCTATAGAAACAGGCTGGACACCCACCAAGAGATGCACAGATATATATATGTGGTGTATACACACGATGGAATAGTATTCAGACATTAAGAACAAAATCTCATCATCTGAAAAAAATGGAGCTGGAGACCACTGTGTCAAGTGAAGTAAGCCAGATTCAGAAAGTCAAATAGCACATATTTTCTGTCATTTCAGAAAATTACAGGAAAGGAGCGCAGAGGGGGAGGGGAAGGGAGGGGAGGGACAGAAATATGATACGAAGATCGGAGACAATGAGTGAAGAGGAAGGCGCTCAGAGAGTGTGGAAGAAGGAGAAAGGAGGGATAATGGGGGGAATAATCACAGGTTTCATGTGTGTGCGAATACGCCAACATACAGTAAGGCTTCTTTATCTGACGGCAATAATGAACACAGAAGTCACGCAGCAAAAAAAAGCACACCCTTCTTGGTCCATAGCAAAGCTTCACACTATACTATGTTCTATTGAGTCTTCTTTTTATGCAATTGATACACATACTTATAGAAGGAGCCCCTCAACTGAATCATAACCTTGCCTAAAGCATTAAGCCATTAACCAAACTATTAATACACAAACATCCCAACACAGTTTTACCAAGACATATCATCTTTAGTTGCCACGTATCTATGCAGCGTAAACCTCTAATTATGTATTAACAACTTCACTAAAATAATCACAGCAAAGTACTGTACTTTATCTGACAGAATGTAAGTCTTCATTGTAAGAATGAAACACCTCAGAAGCCATTAAATTATTATAAATAACACTTGTTCTCAGAAAAAGAAAAAGCTCAGGTTTATGTCATCATGCTGAAGTATTTTATTTTGATTACTGTTTTTGCCACGCTGCCAACTTCAGTTATGTATGTGTGTATGAAAGGCAAATCATCAACCACTTAACTTACACCAGGCAAGAAATGCTTTTAAATAAAACACGAAAGCAGCACACATAAAAATGGACACGAAGTCAATCAAATCTATTTCTCTCTAATGCAGTTATAATGATCCCATCACCATAAAATCAAATTAATCAATACACCGACAGAAAGATGGCCAATCAGATATTATATACTATAACAGTGAACATGAAAATACCTTTTTATTTAGAGTAGGAAAATTCACTGGGGAAAAGGAAAGGGCAATGGGAACAGCTCCTGAGAGATGGGAGGGGTCCTGAATGGATTGCCTGAAAATATATCTTTTAGAGGAATACTGGCTTTAAACAGGAAAAATCAATGTGATGTTTACTTTAGCTCCTGAGATTATTATGGAAAGTGAAAAACATTACAGCTAAGGTTGACATCAATGAAAGAGGGTAAAAATGATTAATCTATGACACTGGCTACTGCAGTCTTTCTTAAACAATATAGTAAAACCTAGATTTTGTACATGTTATGGTTTGTGTCTAGATGTGCCCCGCAAAGCCTCATGCAGTCATGGGGGGAGGGCTTTTCAGAGGTGGCTGAATCTCGCGTTTGTGATTGATTTCCGGCCCAGTGCTAGGATTAAGGGTGTGAGTGCTGCACATACCCCAGGGCAGGTAGCCTGCGTGGACTATATGGGATAGAAAAGAGTCTTTTCTCTCTTGTGTTGCTTTTGCCATCTTCTGCCCTGCCATGAACTGTTGCCCCTCTGCCGTGCACCACCCTGCCTTGGTGCCAGCTGATGATGGTCTGAAACATCCACAAACTGTGAGCTAAATAAACCCTTCCCCCTTTACCCTTGGGTGTCAGGTATTTTGTCTCAGCAACTATTAAAGTAACTAAGACAGTACACCAATTGGACTTTTCATCAGAGCCAATGATGTCTTAATGACAAAAGCCAGATTCATGTTAACAAAAGCAGCAGTATTACACTTCACAAAACCTGTTGCTTTTAAAACTGTAATTTTGAAATTTAGATAGCAACTTACTTTTCTTGAAAATCCATCTCTTTCCTGTCTCATGCTAGAGTTAAAATTTTCATAATATATTAACTGAGAGGTTATGGCTCACAAAGAACAGAAAACTTTTCATGTTGAATATTTGAGGGTTTTTTTTTTTTTTTTCATTTTTAAAAAGCTAACATTTCTGTGATTTTTCCCGCATAAATATCTTTGTCCAAGTAAGTGTTTTCTATGCATTTACACAGAAAAATGAATTTCTGCAATTCTACAACCTATAATCCATTTCTATATGCTGGGTCTCATTTTGTTTCCCAGACTAGCTCTCAGCTCAAGGCCCAAGCAATGATCCCGTTGCCGCCTCTGGGTAGCTGGGACTACCAACATGCACCTCGACGCCCAGCTGTTTGTTTCTTTGGCTCTAGGAATTAAATTCAAGACTGTGGCCATGATTGGTAGACACTCTACCACTGAGCCACTTCTCCTGCCCAAGACTTCCTTGTTTTTATTAAGTCATAAAAAAGTAATAAAGAGCATGAACCAAAAAAACTGAACCACATTTAAAAGCAGAGTTTCAAGTATATTTTTAATGTTTTTAATTTTTTCTTTTTATATATTCCTATCCTTAAATATGGTAAATGTGAGTTATACTTCTACTTAATAAAAAATATTCAGATAACACGTTCTATTTTCAAATGACCACAAATCTGTCAACAAATATTAGATGTGCAAGAGTTCTAGTCAGTGTTGAGGGGTAATAAATGTGGGTTACCTTGTAGATGAATTAATTAGGAATCAAAAACCAAATATATAAACCTTTAGTGTTTATACATTTAAACCTAATTTATAAAGAACATCTGTATGTACCTATCAGCTAAGACACACACAAGTCGTAGTCAACCAAAAGGTTTGCTAACACATCATGAAAACAATGCAAGCCTGTAATGTGTTCAGTTAAACACAAAGTTAATGAAGGGGACAGAAATTTACTAATATTTAGGCTCTAAATAAAATATAACAGTCAAATCTAAAAACCTAGAATTTCAAACAATTTCTATTTTAATTACAATGAAATCCACTGTTTTGTTTTGTTGTGCTTTGCTTTTCGGTTTTCTCAAAGTGTCAAATGATCTTACTACAAGAATTAGCACGTGAGTAGCTGCCAAATGTAATATTTTATCAAGATTCTGAACCATATCCAGTAGATTTTCTCAAAAAATGCAATATTAAAGATTAATACTTTTCTTTAAAGTTAATAGTTAAAGACACATAGTTTCTAAGCATTTTGTTCTGACACAGAATTACATTTAAAAAACACTTAATAAATGCTGCTCGGGGTTGGGGATTTAGCTCAGCAGCAAAGCGCCTGCCTGGCAAGTGCAAGGTCATGAGTTCAATTCCTGGTATCAGAAGGAAAAAAAATAAAAAACAAAAATAAATGCTGCTCTATTCCCGTCTTAGTATAGAAATTGATTTTGGATTTTCTTTCTCTTTTTTTGAGACAAGGTCTCACTATGCAGTTCAGGCTGACCTTAAACTCCCAGCAATCCACCTGCCTCAGCATCCCTGGGATTACAGGCATGTGCGGATTGTATTTTTTATAGGGAAGATCACAAACTACCAGATTTTTTAATTGTATTTATTTATTTTGTTTCTTTGAGACAGGGTCTTGCTATGCGGTTCAGGATGGCCTTATTCATTTTGTTCACTTTGTAGCCCAGGCTGGTCTCAAATTCTCAATGATCCTCCTGCCTCAGATTTTTTAAAATGCCTTTTAGAAATATATTTGAAAAATGAGTACTATGACACACAAGAACATAACGTTTATGAGTTCATGGGGATGAGGAGTGGAGAAGGATATATCTTGCTTACAATATCACACAAACAAGATTAAAGTACAAGCCTACAATAATTTCCTTATTTATAATCATCTCTTCTAAATGCTTCTGAACCTGTATTTAAAATATAACCGTTTTACCTGATGATACGGGATTTTATTACAAACTATTGCCGTGTATGTTTCATGATAAACTACTATAACATTTCATGTATTATTTTTATATTCATAAGAAACTGCTATAAAAGTAAATATTATCTACTACTATATTATGTCACTTGCAGTCATCATAATTCATTTTTTAAACAATTCTCCCAAATACGTAAGGTCTTTCTGGTTGGTACTATGTATAAGCCTCTGCCTGTAAAAATAAATTTACCAGGTGGGCATGGTGGCACACATCTGTAATCCCAGCACTTAGGAGCCTGAGGCAAGAGGATCACCATGAGCCAGCCTGGGCTACATAGTGAGTTCAAGGTCAGCCTGAACAGCACAGTGAAACCTTGTCTAAAAAAACTAAATTTAACTAACTAATTAATTAACCATATTGACCTGGCATGATGGTGTATGCATGCCTGTAATTCTAGAATTCTGAGAGGCTGAGGTAGGAGAATCACAAGTTTGAGGCAGCCTGGGCAACTGAGAGCCTATCTCAAAAAATTTAAAAAGGACTGGAAATGTTAGAAGGTCTATTACTGTAAATAAATACATACATAAGTAAGCAAAACTAAATTCTAGGGATTATACCATAGTGCTATAAAAAATAGTATTTGAACCAAACAGTAAAGAGTAATAAAATAATTTATGAGAAAAATGTCCATGGGAGGCTGAGGCAGGAGGATCACTGAGAGTTCGAGGCCAGCCTGGGCTACATGGTGAGCTCAAGGCTTCTGAACTACATAGCAAGACCCTGTCTCAAAGAAGAAAGAAAAGAAAGAGAAAAAATTGTCCAGATGAAGATATAAAACTTTACATTTAGGTTTGATGTCTTAATAGTGTTTGAAATAACAGTTTTAACATGATAGCAATTATTTCTTGAAAAAAAATGTGACCTGGAATAGTAACAATTTCTGTAATTCCAAATTATTAATCTCATCAACTAGTGATGGAGAACCCTACAGAACTTCCGATGCTGCGAACAGGCCACTGCAGCAGGTGTGCCACAGGCTCGCCACCACTATCCTAAACCACATACCTTTTGGCAGATCTTGATCCTAACCAACCTGCAGGTAACACAAATTTCATGCACGAAAGTCTCACCTGGCCCAATCCAACTGTGTCAGTGTCAATAACTGTGATGATGCCTGGGACCAGGGGACTCCGCCGAGAGTTACCATGGACAGTAGCATCATCTTCTGTCACGCCTGAGGGCACCGTGCCTGTCAGCTGAGTCACCACTTTCCCAACCATGGTCAGGCCACTTTTCAAAGTCTGTACAACGAAAGATGAAATATATGACCACACAGCATACAGAGTCTACAGAGAGATACACATTTCATTAACTATCCTATATTAAATTCACTATTCTTTTACAATCTTTTACAGAGCAGTTAATTGTCATAAATATTCAGCCTAACTTTTAACATGGTCTTGGCTTTCAGTTAGAAAATCAATATTATTTAAGGGAATGGTACCAATGAAGCTACAAAGAATGGTGGCAACAAAGCCACAATTAAATGATCCTAATTATAAGTAAAGATCTCTATTTCACAAAAAGGAGCAATTATATTTTCATAAAAAGTGTTTATTTTATTCCTTCCCCTTAATGCTTTTTAAATCCATGACATAATGAGAAGTAGAAATTATGTGATAGTCTGTGCTTTTGAAATGTTATATATGTAATTTTATATCTATTTTTTAGCATGAAAAGGACAGAGATACTGGTAGAATATCTCTGTGGAAAAAGCCTATGCTTCCAAAATAAATTTATAATGTGCTATTCTACAATATTATAAACCAAGATTTGGGATGTGGAAAAATGTAGTCTTTGTCCAAGATTCTAGTTACTAAATGAATGAAGTATCATATATAAAATTATCTAAGAGTTCTTTTCTATTTGCTAGCAATAAACAATTAAATGTAGTTAATACTATTTCAATTAAAAGTAAAGTAGGATCTTTCATAATTATGTTTTAATTGCTTTTCTTTAAAGTAAACAGCTAAAATTCAAGTATTTTTTTCTAAGTAAATTGTCTGATTATCCTCACATGGTTAATAAAAATATTTTTAAAGTAACAGAGTCACTTTTCATTAAAAAGAGAGAAAGTTTAAAAATATTTGAAGGGGCTGGGGATTTAGCTCAGCAGCAAAGCGCCTGCCTGGCAAGCGCAAGATCATGAGTTCAGTTCCTGGTACCGGAGAAAAACCAAAAACCAAAAAAAAAAAAAAAAAAAAATGTTTGAAAGGTTTAGTCATTTGATCCAGAATAGGTAGCTAGATGACAAAGGCATATTAAAAATTGATTATTAAATGACATATGCACATTTTTAAATTCTCATGTTGAAAGAAAATTTATTAAAATACTTTATATTAATCTTAAATAAGGTGACTTCTAAAATAATTCGAGAAAATAACCTTACCTATATTCTGACATACGCCATAGCTAAATTTTTAGATGTAAATTATTTTATACAAAATATTTCAAATTACAATGTATAAACGGTACACAAAAAAGTTTGTGAAAGCAAAAATGTACTTTAGGCAACAATTATACAAGAATTAAAATAAGATAGTACTAATATGTGCATTACCATATTGCGGTTACGTTTCAAAGATCTTGCTCAAGGATCTTACCATAGCTACCTCTACAAATTTCCTCAGTTTTATAAAAAATGAAAATTGAAGCCAGGGAATTTAATTAAAATGCCACCTTAAGTATCTAAGCAATGATAGCCAGAATTCAAACCAGAACTGTCTGTCTACAGAACCTGATTTTTTACCACTATTTTATCCTATATCACCCTGTAATCTGTCCTTACAATCTACTTAGTGGCCTCACATTTTTTAATTTAAAACTTGGATGTCTTACGGGAGTGGGGTGGCATAGGAAAAACTTAGAACCTTAATAATGCATCCTGATAAATACTTAAAATGACCAAGAAAGCCATCTGCTAAATTCAAGCAAAGACATAACTTAGAGCAGACAGAAAAGAAGAAAAAAAACCACAAATCAATTGTAACTGTTTTGTTTAGTGCTAAAAACTCAAACTGCAGTGATTATAAAACACATTAGTGTTCCTCAATTAGCAGCCAAACATTTGTTTCAATAATTCACAAGAAATGACTTACACTAACTCTGCGACACAGTTGTCAAGTAAGCCCCGAAAGACCAAGAGAATCAGGCGCCACGGTGTATTGATGTCGAGAGCCGGCCAGGAAGCTTGATTAACCTCTGAGATGCCTCAGCTGATGTACTCGCTCCATTAATGCTAATGGAGATGCTCCCACTTAGAAGTAGCAATCCCTTTATCAAAGGAATGCCTTTTAGTTTTAAAGTCTTTAGTTGTATATCCTCTGCATTTGCCCCTGAGCCTACTATTTCATGCTCTTATACCAATGAATAGGAATAAAACTAAAAGAACTAGAGCACATAAAAAGTGGAAAGTAATGTACCAAGTCAAACCACAAAGTAACTGTAAAAGTTCATGTAAGAAAACAAGGGAAAGGATCCGCAAAGGGGGAAACTAGTGTAATTTATAGTCAAAGGTTTACACTACAAAGAGTTTTTCACATCCTAGGGAAAAAACTATGACTACTGATACAAATATCTTACTCGTGAAGTAAAACACTAAGTCCAAAATTCAGGGCACCACACATGCATGTATGAATACTGCAAATGAAGCCCATGCTCTGTATAAGGCACAAGGGATTTTTAAAAAGCAGAACAAAAACTCCGCAACTTGTATATGAAGTTGTAAGTTAGTATTGCTTAAGCTAATTAACAATGCGGTAGAAAGAAGCAGTAGGAAGAGTGTGAAAAGTTTTCTGCATTAATAAAGAGCATTGTTTTCAGGACGAATTTGCTGCCGTATTAGGGCCAAACACATCTAGGGCCACTAGAGTCCAAAAGTAATCTATATCACGTTGTTATTTAACAGTTCTCACATATATATTTAGAAATCTGAATTATCTCACAGTAATTTGTCATCCCGCTTGATTTCAGGTATGTACATAGCTGGTAATGTCCTCAAATGTATACAAAACATGACGGCCAAGTATAGGTTAGGAATACAGAAACGTAACTGGACAAAGGTATTCTGAGTTGCCTCACAATCTGAAGGGTCTAAATTGACAAGTTCACTAAGTCCCTGACTGATGTTTACAACAGCACCTGAGAACACCACTGTAGCTACAAGACACTTGAGCACTAGACTACAACAAAACTGTGAAAAAATCCATTATGACCCAGAAGTCAAATAAGCATAGCACATACTCTGCTCAGTACAAGCAAATTTATCCAAGGGTTGTCTTTAACTTTCCTTATGTCGTACCAGTTGTCCCCACCATCCATTAGTGCTAATGGTGTGGCTCTGGCAAAATGTTAGCTGTCATTAAGAAGTTATCAGGTAACAAGAAAAAACATGGGCATTGTTATTAAATCAATTGACCACACTGGGGTTAAAATGCATTAAGACAGTTATGCAGGAACTAGAAAATAAGGATCAAAATTTTATAAATATATCAAAATCATCTCATTTGAATAACTGCAACATTACACTTTTTCCTTTACTCCTACCAATCTATCACTTGTATACTCTTTGAAAGCAGTCAAATCAAGTATTATGAAATCAAAGAAAAACATCTAAAGTATAAAGATAAATTTTAAGTATTATTTGGAAACTGAGAAAATGTCAAAAAGATTACTCCAAGGAGCTCCCAGTGCATATACAATTATTACATTTATCCTCACAATTGTAAGGTGACACAAAAAATTAATAATTAATCCCTGCATGTAACAAAGTACATAAATAACTTATCTGTAGCCACAGAAGAAGCTGTCATCAGAAGGAGAAAAAGTAATAATTACTCTTTCAAGTAGTATGATTAAACAATGAAGTCCGTGTCACATCTCAAACAATATCATATTACTTGAAATAATAAAAATGATAAGAAATAATTAGAAAAGGGCCGGGGAGATAGCAGCATAGCGCCTGCCTGGCAAGCACAAGCTCCTGAGTTCAATTCCCAATACCAACAAACAGTAATAATAATTAGAAAAATACGTATTTTCTATTATGACAGATTAGGTAAATTGAACCCTTTGAAAACAGGAGAGAATGTTTTTGTAAATGCCGCTTGAAGGTACTGAACAAGACAGTGCAGAGTTATCACATTACCCTGGGTTCCATTCCTAGTACTGCAGAGGTGGGGGGGATCAAACCCAAAGGAAAGCAAGATGCTCCAGTTGCGTATTTTGAGTTGGAGGTGTCCTAGATTCTAGAGAGGGATGCAAAAAGACTAAGATACTTTTGATAGATTTCTGGAACCAGGTGTTGTACGAGAATCGACAGTTTGGAAGGGGATCTACCTGGTGAAACTCCCACCATACTTGAAATCATTACATGAATACGCAGACAATGGCAGGGGGAACCTTTTCTCATGTGCAGTGAACACGGCTATGACAGGTGAAGTTCATTTAAATAACTTAAATGTCCTCAATTCCTAAAACTGAATGAGGATGAGCCAAGACTGATAGAGTCCTAGAATACCAATATTATCACAAAATCAAACTGCTTCTCAAAATTCTGGCAAGACATCAATAATAAAAACCAGCAAGGTCCTGACTTTGATTCCCAGTACTAAAAAAAATAATAAAAACCAACAGAAAGAACACAGGAACACATCCAAAAGGAAACCAGACACTGGAGTTATCAGGAACAGACTTTAATACAACCAGTTTAGTGGGTCAGATGTGAATATTTGAGAAAAATGGAAATAGAGGACCAGAATATATATGTTCAATTTTTTTCAACACTTTTTGCTCATCTACTGAGATTATCATATCATTCTGTGCTATTCAATGCGGCAAATTACACTCATTCTCTTTAACTGGTCAGTCAGCCTTATCTTGTAGAATTATCTCAAGTGGTTTGTGACACATCTGATTTCCTCCACATTGCTTCATTTTTCCCTGTTGATATTGTTTTTACAATTTTTCACATCTGTGTTCATAAGTTAGACGGCATCAACTCAAGTTTCCTTTTTACAACACCGATTTTCACTATCAAGATAATCTAGCCTCATAAAACAAGACTAGGGATCATCTGACTTCATATTCTCTAAAGGAGTCTATAATATTACTATTGCTTATTCCTAAACTCTAGATTGAATTCTCTTCAAAAGGTCTGTAGGTCTAAAGATACCCTTTGGAGGCTTTTTAAATGAAACTTATACTTCCTGAAACAGAAAACTACAGTGTTTTTTTCACAGCGTGATGAATTTTCACAAGTCAACACACTAACAGGAGTATACATTTAGAATTAGAAAAATTAAAGAAGTAATTCTGATGTAGTTACCATGCAAAACTAGAAATATTCTATTCCCTAAAAGGCAAGTTTACCAATAAAAAAATATTTTCAAAGATACTTAATGATATTTGAGGTAAGTATAACAGGTCAGGGTAGAATATATGATTGGAAGTGTTTCTAAAAATTAAACTGCCCAGTTACACAAAGGCTATGGGAGTGGGTAACTTTAATGTACACTGCTCTATTATTTTCCTCATTTTGTAAGTTTATAACCATGAATATGTATTAACATTAAAATGGGAAGGGGTTGGCAGATTCCTGTAATTCCAACACTGGGAGTCTAAGTCAGGAGTTCAGTGCCAGCCTGGGCTACATAGTGAGATGCTGCCAAACACCTGGGAGCTGGGCACGGGGGCACACACCTCTAATCCCAACACTCTGGGAAACTGAGGCAGACACATCACAATTTCAAGGCTTACTGGGCAACTTAGTGATTCAGTGACATCCTGTGTCAACATTTAAAAAATAGGCCAGGGAAGTCATTCAGTGTGAAGGCCCTGGATTTAATCCTCAGTGCAACAAAAGGAAAAACACACAAAAAATTTAAAAGGCCCAAGGATACAGCTCAGTGCAAAGGTCCTCGGTTCAATCCCAAGTACCATCAAAAAGAAAAGAAATTAAATATTACCTATTTTATTCAAAAGCAAATGGAAGATGTTTATAAACTGCCAAAGCTAATAGTGAATTATAAACACTCATTTGGTGACCAGTGGTCTTTAAGAAATCAGTAAGATTAAGGTGTTGTATTAAACATAATTCCCTACAATCTAAATGTACAAGACTTGAACATCTGTCACACAGTTCCCAATACTGAGATGTGGGAACACAGGGAGTTCAGACTTGTTACTTCCAAGTCATATTAATTTTAGCCTCATTTCCAACATTTCCACAGTGAAACATTACTGAATGAAGCCATCACTTTCTTTTTATGTAACCATGAAAAACACATAATAATACCAAACGACGTTATCCTCCACTCTGTAACTGAAAAGTACTCAAAAATGTTAATACTGTGAGCTACATTGACTCATGTGTGTGAGACAAGTCTAAAAGGAGTCTAATACACGAGGAAAAAAATTCACTGTTAAAAGTCACAGATAAACTAACAGAATACCGCTGAAAATTCTACCTAATTACTCTCAGATTAGTCTTTGTTGAAAGAATCATCTTTATTTTTGCATACACAATGGAGAAAAGCAAACATGCTTTATAAAAGTCCCTAAAATATATAGTGCTACAAGAGCAAAGACATTATTTCCCTCTTGAATGAAAAGTGTGTAATTCTTCTCTCATCAAACCAAGGGACACATTCAAAAGCACATCATGTAACCATTTGTGATCAAACTTGAAGTATTTTGGTGTTTGTTTTACATAAAACAGTGTGACCTTTGATTCCCTCTTTGTGGTTTACTTTAAACTGTTGTTCTTTTCTGAATAGTTGTGCTTTCTATTACATGCTGTCATTTAGATTCACTCTGTCATCCCTATTATTAGAATTGTTTTGTTGTATACTTCGCAATTCAAAAGGATAGTGGTTATGAGAATACCTTATAATCAGCGTAAAGTTTACCAGGCTTCATCAAAATTAACCCTCAGACACAAAGAAAGAACTCACTTGCCAAACATGAAGGGGGCAGCCCCTTGATATGAAAGAATCTTTGAGTGTGCCGGGGGACTGACTTAACTTTTCATAAAGAATGATAGTTTTTTTATGTCAAGAAGACTCAAAACTATTCAAAGATGCACATGGATATCAGGTAGAATGATACAAACTACAGAAAAGGAACCCAGAAGTTGCTATGTAGAACATGTGAAGCTTCTTTCAAACATGGCACTAATCAGTTCCCCCACTTGAATCCAATTAAGAGACTGAAGTATAAACCGTACAGTCATTACAACAGAAAATGTATTAACCCTAAAAGATTAAATACCAAATCAATCACAAAGTCTCATGAATAACAAAAATTTACTTCTTAAAGATTATTACACATTCATGAATGAAAATGGAAGGGAAATTTCAGTACAACTCAGGAAGCGAAGCTTCATTACGACATCAGCACAACTCCCGCCGACTACTGAACTACTCACTTTAGCAGCACTAATGACTGTGGCAGTGTAGGACTGAATGTTGTCTCCACAGGCTCCACCACGGGACTGATGACACCGAATCAACTGGGGAAGAAAAGAAAGAAGCAGAAAGTCATTTTCTATTCAGCTGTTTAACTCTCAGGCTCTTAGACGGAGCTTACTTAGCATGCCTGATAGGATGGGAATGTTTGCATGAGTATCTTTCAGACAAAGCAGCTCAAAGCCCTACTGAGACACGTTTCCTCCTTTTTTATAATCTACTGGTGCCATTCAGGCAGTTTCAGCCCCAACTACATTTCTAATTACAAGATGAAAAGTTTTTAAGAATTCATAAACTCTGAAATGGGAAGGACTTGGGATCTGGCAGCTGTTCCACAAATAAATTTTTAAAACATAATCAAAAGACTTAGAAATGACTTCCTAACATTAAATATTTGACATGCTAGCAAATTGGATGTTTTGTCTTCCTAACTCCTCCACAAAGAGTATAAAAGGAAACATAAAAAAACAAAAGATTTTGCTGTATTTGCATTTTCAATTGTGTTAGTGGAAAAGTGGCACAAATTCCACATAAATCAACTACGACACATATACTAGCTGTCTACTTCACAGAGCTTACTGCTTGTGCCATTAGGAATAAAAAGCCTGGCTTGGAAGCTAAGTGGGGCGGTGCACCCATGTAATCCCAGCACTCCAGGGCTAAAGCAGGTGGACAGCCAGCTAGAGCCCAGCTTGGACCCATCAGCAAGATCCCGTTTCAGAGTAAAAGGCTGACAAAGTGCTGGGCACACAGCTTAGGGTGACAGTCCGGGGTTCAATCCCCAGTACCACAGAGAAGTACTGGATGGGGGTTGGAGTCAGTGACGGAGCTCTTGCCTAGCATGTGTGATGCCCTGGGCTTGAGTCCTAAAACAAAAGGAGAATGTTTTTTAAAAAAGGAAAGGAAAGAAAAACAAAAACAAAAGAAACTAAAGACATGTCCCTATTCACATGTAATGTAAATAAATCAACTTGCCAATTTTCAAAGTGAATCAATACTTTGAGATGCATGATTCTCTCAGGGGTGAAGCAATAAACCTAAATTAAACTCTTCACTGATTCTACATTTGTTACATCATTATTCACATTTGTGTATTTAAAGTTGTTTTTAAATTTAAATATATGACTTTGCAAAAGCCTCAGGAGTTCACAACAAAATCTACTTCTAACTGCTTTATATAACCTAAACCTAGGTCCTTTGATGTAATCCTTTTACGTGTACTTCAAAAATTTTTTCATCAGTCACATAATCCTTTTACTTGTACTTCAAAAAATTTTTGATCATGTTTTTTACAATTCCTGTAAAACAATATTAATAAACCAGAAAGGAAGACTTTTAAAACTCTGGTAAGTGACATCAAGCTATTTTTTAGGCAAACCCTGCTATGTCAAACTGAATGATCGAAGTGAGTGATTAGTCATTGTGGTCTATATAGAGTACAGTAAGGAATCTGAAAAGTGATGCATTCAGTAAATAAAAAGAATCTCATTCATTCATCCCCAAATACCTTCAGAGAATTCTGATAATTATCCCTCTGCTGCCTCCTGCTGCACAAGCAAAGAAAGACTGTATTTTGGAAAAGCTATTCCATACTTGAGGTAATTAAAATATTCACATGTAGAAACCCTTACCTGCTCAATTTGACCAAGACTTGAGTTAAAACTTTGGCCTCTAAAACATAGACTGATATGGCAATTAATTATATCTTGGCTCAATAAAATTAAAGATGTGGAAAACTGTGTCAAATGTACTAATTTGAAAGAACTGTTAACAAAAAAGTAATATACTAAAGAGTATACATACTACTACTGTATGGCCTCTCATAAAAGAAAAATGAAATATAAATGAATATGTAACATACACTATATTACGTACCCGTAAATAAAATATAAGTATTGGAAGAAAAGTACAAAATTCCAAAATGAGGGAAGGAAAAAGAGGAAGAATGAAAACAGCCTCTGACGAGAGTACTGGACTGCACACCTTCAGTTTCCCATAGCAATGACAGCAGGACAGCTGAAAACATGCCCGATCCCTTTATTTTATCTGACTTTTACAGTGGTAGGGACAAGCAATTCTGCAATCTTTTTTTGTATGACAGGATGAAATGAACAGATGCACTGATGTCAGGACATCACTATGCAAAAGAGACATGAATATGAAATGGTCAAGACAAGAAAGCACCTTTTGGAAGTGTTAACTGAATTTATGATTTCTAAAAATACACAGGACTGGAAGAAAAACAAAAAAACAAAAAAAAAATTTTTAAAGGGCTGGGGATTTCGCTCAGCAGCAAAGTGCCTGCCTGGCAAGCACAAGGTCGTGAGTTCGATTCCTAGTACCGGAAGAAAAACAAAAAAATAAAAAATAAAACATACACAGGAATGCATGTATAGGTACACAAGTATAGGTGTGTGTTTGCCCATCTGTCTGTGTATGCATGTACTATGCACTTCCTAGCACTATCCATTGAAAATATCCAGAACCAAAGACTTGAGCACATCTGTAATCCCAGCACTTGAGAGGCTGAGCCAGGAGGACTGCCGAGTTCAAAGCGAGCCCGGGTTACATAGTGAGATCAAGGCCAGCCTGAACTATATAGTAACACCATGTCTTTAAAAATAAAAAAAAAAAAAAAAGGAACCAGCAGAGCCAGAAGTAACAGATTCAAGGCTGACACACAAATACAAGATGAGTGTAAATATAGCCTAGTAAGGAAATAGTTTGTCTGTCTTCTGGATTGTTTTAAATGAGAATACACCACAAGGTCACAGACACCAGCCAGAAAAGTGTTCCAATGGCCAACTCTGGGACAATGTGAAAATCCAAACAATTAATGACTTTGTCACATTCTAGCTCAATTGTAGACTGAATAATCATTATTTTAAGCTTTTTTTAAAAAGTGACCACTGAGTTTGTTAGATACGTTCACTTCTTTACGTTATATATTCCTAGCTCCAAACTACATGAATAATGTTCAGTACTAATCATTATACACAACTGTCCTTTTTTGGTGATGTTAACTTTGTTAGGAAAACCTAAAATAAAAATCATTCTATTAAAAAAAAAAAAAGAGTTGGGCATGGTGGTGCACACTCATAGTTCCAGGTACTACAGGGCTAACTGACATAACTGGCATATGGACAGTAAAGTATTTTATCAATATTGAATTGGCTGATCAAGTCCAGGAGTACAGCTCAGTTGCAAAGCCCTTGCCTAGCATGCATAACATCCTGGATCCAATCACCAAGATGACAACACAAACACACAACAAAAAAACTAAGTTTTATACCAGGTATGGTGATGCAGGCCTTTAATCAAAGCACTTGGAAGGCTGAGGCAGGAGGATCTCTGTGAGTTTGAGGCCATCCTGCGCTACATACAGTACTTCCCCAAAAGTAAGACCTAGCATGATTTTTTAGGATGCTCATAACGTAAGTCCTATTCCAAAAATAAGGCCAGTCAAGATCATCAGCCAGACAGACGCATTTAGTACATACACTGCAACACACAATATATTGAATTATAAAATAATAATAATGTTGACATTTATACTTAAATTACAATTAAATATTCATAAATACACAATCATGCACTTTTGGAGAAGAGGTAAATGTTTAGGCAAACAGATGAACTTGAGACTTACTGCCAAATGATCAACTGGAGTAGACACAGAGCACATGAATAACGTGCACATTTGATAACCAACAGACGTGGCTGTGTCTAATATGAATCTGCATAATTCCACACATCGTGCGTCGTAATGGATGTACTTAATGCACTCGTGCGAAATAAAAAATGTTTTCTGAATTTTGGGGCCTGCAATTTTTTGTCACTTTTGTCTGGGCCATCATTCCTAACTGTCATCATTTTTGTTGCCACTCCTGTCTCATAAGTCTCCAATTAACACTTGATTTAATGCAAACTTCGTGTAGCCCAGACTCCAAGAGGTCATGACTTGGGTGAAGAATTCATGGAATAACATCACCGACAGCTGTGCTGCCCATGTCCGGACTACACGGACAAGAAGTGCTCATGTAAGGAGGGCTCTGTTGGGGACCTGAGAGATTGGGGCCAATGGTTTCACAGGAAGTAGAGTTGTAAGAAATGAAGGCCAGAATTCGGGGTTTGGGCAGTGATGACAATGTTCCAGAAAATGACATGACTGCATTTAACAAGTGTAGACCTTTGCACATGAACAAATATAGATTTTTGCACATGAATAAAAATATTGCTGTATATGAAAACAATAAGACATTCCCTGAAAATAAGCCCATTGCATCTTTTGGAGCAAAAAATTAATGGTCTTATTTTCAGGAAAATGCAGTAGTGAATTCAAGACCAGTCTGAACTACATAGCAAGACTGTCTCAAAGAACCAAAAAAAGAAAAGAAAAAGAAAAAAAGAAGGCTGATCAGTACCTATGAGTAATGACATACACAAACTTATTCTGAAAGGATTCAGAGGATAAACTAGTTAAAGGAAACTTTGGTGTGCTTTGTACTATTTCTACTGTAATTAATCTTGTACCTTTTCTAAGGTTAAAAAAAAAAGTGCAGTTTAAAAAAATACTAAAAATTAAACTACATCAAGATATATGGCTTCTTACTTAAGATTTTATAGTCAAAGAAAAATAAATGAATACATAAAAATATTTTATAATCAAACAGCATTTTCACTGAAAAAGACTGCTACTCCAGAATTTAATTCAATGTAGGAATCATACACTAGGCCGAAAACCTGAAAGAACATCAGAAACTAGTAATAAATAATAGTTCTTATGAAAATATTATGTAATGACCTTTATTTAGGGATCTGCAATCCCGGCAGCTCAGGCAGCTGAGACAGAAGACTCACTAGTTCAAGACGAGCCCAGGCAGCACAGCAAGACCCCCCTGCAAATGAGGCAGGGGAGGGAGCCCTTCTACATGACGGTACAAGCGTTCGGTTAGCAAGCTCCTGCTGAGCGCCACTACACTGCCTGATGTCTGAATGTGACACCAGACACTACATGTGTATGTGTAAAGGCAACGAGCACATATCCAGGTTATGTATTCATGGAGTCCTTGACACCCAAAAAATATGTAACCTAAAATGGGAAGTTTATCACATGAAAATATATCCACAAGAGGCAAGGGACAATTTACACATTTTTTTTTCTAGGATGTTTCCATCACTCAAGAGAAATACACTACAGATGTAAACATAAGATATCACGATGTACACAAGGGCTTATCTTATTTGAAAAGAGTAATTACAAAAGGGCTATTTTTATGAGCAACTCCAGAAAAATCAAGAGACCAAAGAAGATGGAACACAAATAGAACACTCAGGAAAATGTAAAATATCATAAACGCTGTAGACAGATTTTTGGATAAGACATTCAGGAATTCACCTAGAAAAAAAATGACTTTCCTAAGTCATTCCTTAATTTTGTACATTTCATAGACTAGAGATTTACTAGGTCTGTGGCTTCACACGATACTTACCACACCCAGATTTTGTCAAAAACTATTTCATAAAGATATAATAATAACCTTGCAACCAATAAAAATGACATAAAATCATTAACCATCTTTAAAGCCTGGACTATTTTTTTCTTTTTTCTTTCTCTCCTTCCTTTTCGTAGTACTGTCGATGGAACCAGGGCCTTTGCACTGGGCTATATGTATCTCCAGGCCACTTTTTATTTTATAACTGGATCTTGCTAAGCTGGTGGTCTTGGATTTGAGATCTTTGTGCCTCAGTTATTTTTTAGATTTTATTCTACATTCACATGGAGAATGCTAAATGACATAAAAATTACTTTATGCTTTCTTACGTAAAATTTAAATTTATATTTTGCACTGAACTGTGCAGAAGTAATTTCTTGGTATATAAACATTGTATCTTCATTTATAATGAAAACTTTGGAATCTCAATTCGATAAATAACTGGAAAATAAGGAAAAGAACATGAGGATTTGTTACTTGATTATTAAAACAAACAACCATAACCTTTTATAGATCTGCTTGTTGGCATACATGGCCAAAGAAATAATTTTACAGCCAGATTTCCAATCTATCAAGAAGACAGAAGTTACTCCTGTCTCCTGATTTCTTCCTTCACAGAAACTTCCTTCACAGAAACTTCACAGAAACCTTTTCAAAACTGCTGCTATTGTAATCTCAGTGCTGTACTTTAATATTACTGGAATAAAGTTCTTTACATAGAAGAAAGCTGATTAAAAAAAATTAGGTTCTACCGAGTCTTGGCTGAAGGACAATTGTCAAACATTTAAAAATTCTTAAAAGAGTCCAAATATTGACCGCACAATGAAAATCAAAGCAAACTGGTAAGGTAAACAGTCGTTATTGATAATCACCAATAGAATAAACATATTTCTTATGGAAAAATCCTTAAATACTTGCTCCATTACAAATAACCAAAATATGGGTTACACCTTACCTTATTTTCCGCATAAGCAAGCCAACGGCTCCCAAGAGCAATAGGATTCATGTTTGGCCCAGGACAAGGATAACAACCTGAAAATTTCAAATAGTAATATTGAGAAATTTCTTAATAATTTTTTGTTTGTACATGCATCAAATGTTGACGTTAGAAAAACAGAGAAGCCAAATGCTTATTATTTTTCAATATGAAATTCCCATACTACTAGTCATTATTTTAATAGCCAAATGAGGTACAGTTTTTCCTCTATGTTATTTCTTTTCAGTATTTACTCCGCTCCATTAATGAAACAAATGTAGAAAGAACCAAAGATGGCTTTTTATAATAACCGGTCAGCTTATACTGCTATGCCTGAAAAACAGAATGAAGTTAATAGACACCCCTCTAAGTTCCAAACCCTGAAGAGCAAACACAGAAAAGGAATTTTAGAAGAGGCGACAGAAAGGATACAACAGACCTAGGCAGTTAAGGACAAAAGATAAATAAGACTATGGAAGATAACCTAAAAGGAAATGACCATACTATGCTGGTGGGGAAAAAAGAACACATGCACAGGCGTGGGGCCAACTAGAACAAGCAAGCCCCAATGGCGCCTCAATGAAAGATACTGAGGAACCACACAGCGCCACGTATTTACAGTGAGGACTCCACATCAGTCTTCTCTGCAGTGCCAGCCAACATCAGACTGCTCTGCTATTTAAGTCATTTTCTATCCCTCTGCAACTTAACCAGAAGGACATGTAAACGCAAGGAGTTGTGTCCTTTGTTCACTGCTGAATCTCCACTACTCTAAACAATGTCTGACACACAGGAGTACTCGGTAGTACGTTTAAGCCAGGCGTGGCCCTCATGCCTGTAATCCCCACACTCAGGGAGCTGAGGCAGGAGATCTCCGTGAGTTCGAGGCCAGCCTGGGCTTCACAGTGAGTTCAAGGCCAGCCTGAACTACAAAGTGAGATTCTGTCTCAAAAAAACAGAAAATAAAAATAAATATATCTGAGTAAGTTAGACAACGTACTGAAACTAATCAAAGCATCATGGCATGTTATATGCATGTACCAACTCCCCATGGGAAAAGTAATTATTACAGATTGCAATCATGTACTAATAAAAAGTTTTACAAACACGAGAGAAAAACTGACAAAACTAGTCCTTTACAAACTTTGTTGCTGCACACACAAACATTATAGCAGTACACAATGCCACTGCTTGCACTAGAGATCAGTTTTCAGCTGGGTCTCATACACTGCCATCTACTTTCAATCTTTTATTTTGAAAGGAAGATAATGAACTAAATAGGACTTGAACACAAAATAAAATTTTTCTCACTTTCTTACTCATTTAAAAAAAAAACTGGGGCTGGGGATTTCACTCAGTGGCACAGTGCCTGCCTGGCAAGCGCAAGGTCATGAGTTCAATTCCTGGTACCAGAAAAAAAAAAAAAAAACTATTTCTCTATGGTTTGAAAAGGTGTGCTCATGATGCTTTGGGGTTCTGGGAACTTGAACTCTGAGTACCTGTGACATCACCATGTCCACTGAAGGCATATGACAGTGGCATATACAACAAAAGACACACTAAAAATGTATGTATGAAGAACACACCCTAATATACACTAATGTATATTGTGCAGCACTTACAATATAGACTCCTATTGAATAAAATAATATTATTCAGAGGTGGAGAAAGGAATGTTAATATGGTTTACAAGAAAGTTTTTCCCATTTAAAATCTGTAAAAAAGAACCAAACCAAATGCCTCTGAGTGCTAGCATCACAGCAGAGGTATGTTTCTAATTTTTTAATTTTTTTTTTTTTTGTACCAGGAATCGAACTCAGGACCTTACACTTGCCAGGCATGCACCTGTGCCGCTGAGCTATCTCCCCAGCCTTTCAATTAATTTTAAATGTCAGTATAATCTCTCAATTCTGATAACTACCTCAACCACTATTAGGGGTTATTAAGCTTGTAAGAAAAAATGGAGTTTACAATACTGAATTTCACTAGTTGAGTTCAAGATTGTAGAAACTTACAAGAACTCAAGAACTGTAGTATATAAGAATGGATAAAAATTGTTTTCAGTTCACCAAAACAATATTTATAGCTGGGATGAGCAGAATATCAACTACTCAACATTATCTCAACATTATAAGCATAAAGATGTACCTTTGCCTCCATCTAAACTTGAAAAACAAATGATGGGGGGGGCAAGGGAACCTCTGTAATAGTAAGATGAATTCCAACATGTTTATAATGTCATTGAACAGAGTAAGAAGAGAGAACTGAATATTAAAAGAGCTCAGATTCCCCATTTAAATGAAGGTAAAATTAACGAACAACACTCTAAATGGGTAAAAAAAAGGTAATTCAGATGATACATGAGAATTTTACATGGATCCTTCCAGTATTTCAGTCATAATGGAGAGGTAATTTGAACACATGTCCAAAAGCTCTCTGAAATACTGACTCATTTTTCCTTGCAGAAACAAATTTAAGACATTTTTTAAAAGCAGGTACCTACATTTATGTTCAATTAATCTCTGCAAAGGAACCAAGACATGCCAACAGTAAAAGAATACCCAATTCAACAAATAACAGTAGAGTAAGTGGTAGTATGTTTAAGCCAGGTGTGGCCCTCATGCCTATAATTCCCACACTCAGGGAGCTGAGGCAGGAGATCTCCGTGAGTTCGAGGCCAGCCTGGGCTTCACAGGGAGTTCAAGGCCAGCTTGAACCACAAAGTGAGATGGTAAAGAAATTGAACCACTACATCATACCACATTAAAAAATTACCCTAAAATACAAGAAAGACTTAAAATGAAAATTTAAACTGATTCAACTCTTTTAAAAAACACAATAAATTTTCATAACCTTGGATTAAGCAACAGCTGTTTATGACACCAAAAGTACAAGTGACAAAGAATACAGTAAGTTGGACTTTATGAACACTAAAATTCTTGAAAGCTGGGTGAGGTGGTGCACACCTATAATCCCAGCAGTTTGGATATGGAAACAGGAAGATTGCAAGTTCAAAGGCCAGCCTCGGTTACACAGAGTACAAAACTGGCCTACAGCCACATAGCAAGACCCCATGTCAAAAGCAAAAATAATTAATTAATTAATTAATTTAAAATAAGCCTAAAATTTTTATACTCCAAAGAATACAAAGAAATGAAAGGACAACCTATAGAATAGTGGGAAATTTCTGCAAATGATATATCTGATTAAAATATACAAAGAACTATTAAACCTCAATATTGAAAAGATAAGTAAGGTATATATATACAAATCAAAGTTCTCAGTGTCATTAGCCTTCAGGGAAATGCACAAAATTACAAAAAAACTATCAACAAATGTTCAAGTTGAAAAAGTACATCTGCATAAAAACTTGTGTTCTAGTATTCATGTAAGCATTACCCGTAATAGTCCAAAGTATAAACAAAGCAAGTATCTGTGAATGTATTACAGACACCTAAGCTAGGCAGAAAAATCACAGGCAGTCAGACAGGGCTAGACCCCCAAGAGAACCAGGAGAAAGGTGAAACACATCTCAACAGTGGCTGGAGACACATCTGTTTGAGATCAGGCCTCAAGACAAAGGCAAGATGACCAGGCCTGTATACTCCCTCAAAGGACAAACACCAGGCCTAACGAAGCTTCCACAGACATCAGACAGCCAGGCGGGTGACCAAGGCCTCCAGAACAATCATTTCCTTAAAAAAAGTCTGTTCTTTCCATGCACCCTTGCCAAGTGACCTGTTTCCCCATTAGATTACTATTACCTAAGCGTCTGCACTTGTACCCTTATTGGTTAATCATAGTCATAACCCACGTTGTACCCACATGAGTACTGCTCTGTCAAATTTCCCTGTTAAGTGGGATCCCTGGGCTATCCATTCAGGACCCCTCGTGTTCCTCTGACAGGGGCTTGCTATCCCTTCTATCAATAAATATCCTCCTACTCTTAATCTCCATTGTTCCTAGAATTCATTTTCGATTTTTAGAGAACGTGATCTTGGTGTATCAGACATCTAACACGCTGGGAGTTATAATATTTCCCTTATATGATATTTGGATGTTCTGATATCACCCCTATAACAAACAGATGAATAGATTAAAATGTAGGAAATCCATGCAATGTAATGTTCAAAAATAAAAAGACCTGAAAGAGACCACAAAATGGGTGAGTGCTAACTATATCTATGATTAGTGAAAGTCGTCAGTCACAGCTGGAAGTACTGCGAGCGCACTCCACAGAAAAACACAGGAAATGCTAAATGGCACTGAGGATTTCTTAACTATCGTACAGCTGATTAGTGACCCTTTTAAGACTCAAGGAACTTCGAGATAACTTCCTTTTATTCTTATTTTTCACGTATATGGAACACAAGAATTGTGGAGCACTGCTACTCTAAAGCTCAACAGGTGAGCACTATTTACAAAGAAAGGAAAAATCAAACAGTTCACTCCACACATACTCAGTGTGTATCCACTAAAGACTGACTACCTGCCCAGCCCCTAAAATTATCACTGAGGCCTCAAGCATTTGACGCAGAGCCCAAACAGCCAGGATTGCACAAATGCAATCCACAGTGGTTTTTACAGTGAAAAATTTGTTTTCTGTGCTACGAAACTACTTGCAAACATTCACAAGTGGACATTGGTAAGTACATATGAGACTATACCCGGGTTTCAAATGGGCCTCTTAGCAGAGAAAACAAAGTTCTTCACTGTAAAACTTAAAAAGAAATGAACTTTGCATTTGAAAGCTCTTTTAAATTCATTTCCATTTGTTATTTATCATCACAAATGAGGAACACATACACTAATACCATTAAGACTGTAAGAAATAATTCTTCCACAAAGTAAAACCAGAGACCAAGGGAAAGAGACTGCTTATTGGATACTCTTTGGTCTCCCTGGAGACTTCCTATCTGCCTTTCAATTTAAAGACACTTAAAATGACTACTAATGACATCTATCAGTCTTTGTCTTTTGTTTTCCTAATCATACCTGGGTTTTGGATTTCTACATCAGACAGCTGCTCCAAGCCAACTTTTCTGTACAACCAAATACAAAGGTGTCTCCTTTCTCATCACACTGGACGTGCTCTGCTAGCAGTTCTCTATCAGCTCTCGTTACCTGTTCCACGCACCCTTTGGCACAAATTCCCATGATGCTTGCTCTGATGGACACAGCTGTCTCTACTTACTTTACAGTACCTTCATTGTCCTATACACAACTGAGGCATTCAACTAAGCGCTTCTCAGACTATTTCAGAAGTTAAATGCTTGCATGGTCAAAACAACATCCTCATAAACAAGATTTCACTCCACATGGGATGTGAACTTAGTACCAATCACCAGGAGAAAAGGTATGTGGTAGGAGCAAATGAGCTACCACAAAAGCTATCTCAGTATGCACAGTCTCACCAACTCTCTGTCCCAAATCCCTGCATGTGGTAACAGGCAGAACTATGTCACTTATGTGACAACAGAAAGCTAAACACAGAGAAATGTGTGTAAACTATATGAAGTTTCAGACTGGCTACAGGAACGGGGCCGGGGTGGGAAGGGGAGAGGTAAAATATTATCACTCTTAGCCACCTAAAAGTATATGCATACATCTGATCCTTAGGGTTTTCAAGTTCTGCAGAATTATTTTAAAATAAGAATGGCATACTTTTAATGGAACTGTGAAATGAAAACTATGAGTAGTATTGCCAAGGGTATTTGATAAAGCAGTTAGGACTGAAGTGAAATGTCACAATAAATACTATTCAGAGTAGGAAAAGAAATCACAAACTTTGTTGTTGCTGTTTTCTGAACTCCTTTTTATATAAAGTATACCTTGTAACATATTCTTAAGTAACATACACTTCAGTTTTTCTGCAATCCACATGAAGTAAGAGATTGCAAGGCATCGCAGTCCATGAGAGCCATCCCACAAACAGCACCCTAAGAGAATGAGACGCCTCCTGGGTCAGGAAACACGAAAACTTCATTACTGCAGACCACAAACCACATGACTAGGATTTAGTTATAAGCTGCATTCACTCGCAAAATACCTGAGTACACTACCACAAACACTGTTGATCCTTCTAGATCTTTTTTTCCTATCATGAAGAGCCCTAAGAATTAAGAGACTAGTACTTGTTTGAACTATTTAGTGCGTAAGGTAAAGCAAAGATGTCCCCAAAAGGCAGTAAGAAAAAGAGAAAGAAGATAAAGAATTAAGATACAAATTCTAGTGATACTATTATTAGTAGACACAAATGTCACTCGTATGTACAGAATAATGTACAAGTTATCAGCTACATCTACATCATTTCATCTAAAATGTTTTAAGCCAATCAAATTATGTCCATTTTCATCAATAAGAGTATGATGAAAAGGATCTTTTAATCCCAATGTATCAAAATTATTACAGACCTCTGTGTCCTTCAAATTGAATTTAAGACTAATATAAAAAAGAGCTTCTTTTCAAATTTGTATTCACAATAAAGCTAATTTTGCCCTGTAAATTTTGAAGCAGTACATTAAGAGAATTTTTGGAAATACAAACTTTTAGGGGCTGGGGATTTAGCTCAGCGGCAAAGTGCCTGCCTGGCAAGCGCAACGTCATGAGTTCAGTTCCCGGTACCAGAGAAAAACCAAAAAAAAAAAAAGAAATACAAACTTTTATATTTACCAAAAAACACTATAAATATGCCCTAAAAGATAAAAATGTCACCAGCTCTACCTTATTAACCTCTTGTTTGTCCCTTCTACACTGTCTTTATGTTTGCCATTTGCCATTTATTACAAAGAAACATACTCATTCCAGCAGACCCTAATATTTAAACAGAGCTAAAATTTCTTTTTCTTCTTTTTTTTTCTTTTGTCCTGGGAATTGAACTCAGGACCCTGCACTTGGCAGACAGGCACTGTGCCACTGAGCTATATCCCTGGCCCTGAGCTAAAATTTCAAAATGTTCTTTACCACATAATTAAACTAGTTTAACAAATAATTACTTTTTATTTTCTCTGCAATTCACCACTCAAGTGAGGCAACACAATATTTTTTGATGGGGGACCCAGGGTCTCAATATATACAGTTCAGACTGAACCTCAACTCATTATGTAGCCCAGGCTGGCCTTGAACCCATAGCAATCCTCCTGCCTCAGCCCCCTCAAGGGCTGGGATGACCACATGCACCACAACACCAGGTAATATCTACTTTTTAAAGAGCTAAAAAAAAGAAAGCAAAGGATATCTCTATGCTCCTGACTTGACAGTAATATCCACTACCACAAAATACAGATTATAAGTATAAAATTAAATTGGAGTTGCAACAGAGGTATCAAACATTGCAGAAGCCTTGAAACAAGTATTTTTGATGAATAATAAAAACCATAAAACTACTGATAAAAAGAGATGAAAGCAACTCAGGAAAATCTGGCACCTAGATCTGGCTGAAATGTCTATACACTGTTCTGATTCATTTTCTATATCCTATTTAACTGGCATAAATGGATAGAACCATTACATGGCTCTGTTTTCCTAATTATTTAATTAGAAATATAACAAATATAGTACCGAGCATGGTGGCACACGCCTGTAATCCCTGTTCTTGGGAGGCTGAGGCAGGAGGCTCAGCATGAGTTCGAGGCCAGGCTGGGCTACATAAATGAGTTCAAGGCCAGCCTACACTACATACTACTGCACATCTCAGAGGAAAAAAAAAGATTATAAACATGCACTTGTCTTATTTTTCTTCATGGTCTACAAAATGTTAAATAATGTACTATAATGAACTGTGGTGTATGGTGTATATAATTATATCCAACATATACTGTAGTAATTGTCTCAAAGAAAGCAATTTTATACATAAAAATAGCTACTAATCAGTGCTTGGTACACAGCAAATACTCTGTAAATATCTGTGTAAATAGATATAGTATTTCAAGACCTCCAACAAATACAATTGAAATTCTTGGCTCATTTCAAAATTGAGAACAATTAAATTATTTCTTCAGAATGTACACATCAGAATCTCTGGGAAAACTCAACTAAAGCTTCCATGATCAGTTGCAGAAGCTGAAAAAAGAATGGAAAATATGGACTAAAAAAAAAGAATAAACAAAATTCTCCCTGAGACAGTCTTAGGACTACAGAGTATAACGGATTTCTGCTGAAATTTTCAGCCTGCCAACCTGTCTAATACGATACACTACTTGCAAAGGCCAACAATTCCATAAGCAAATACGAATCTAAAATGTCAACTGGGCCGGGTGTGGTGGTGCACACCTGTAATCCCAGCACTTGGGAGGCTGAGGCAGGAGGATCATTGCAAGTCTGAGGCCAGCCTGGGCTACAAGGTGAGCTCAAGGCCAGCCTGAACTGTGTAGTGAGACCCTGTCTCAAAAAGACAAAAAAAATAAAAAATTTTTTTAAAAAAATGTCAGCCGGGTTCTCTCTCACTCACCCCTGCCCTTTCTCCCTCCCATAATCCTTCTGCTCTAGACAAAATTTCATACACGTAATTTCATACCATCTCAAATATATTAATTCCATGTGCTTGAGCACATAATTTGGGACTAGATTCTATGCTTAGTTTTTAATTTGGGGACAGTAGTAAAATTTATTAAGTGGAGTAAAGATAGAGGAAGAAAGAGATGGGAAATATTTCTTTGTGTTTCAAAAGCCTCAAACAGAATAATCCAGTTACTTACTCAAGTATGGGAAGTAAACAAGTAATTTAACAAGTGCTTTCAAAAAAAACCAGATATACGAAATTAATCACAACTATGCAAGGAGAGTATGCAAGAAGAAACAGGTAATGCAGAATATGTATGGTAAGAATACACTGGCGAAGTGAAATCACGTATCACATAGTTTCTGAATAAGAACATCCACAGAAATCATAGGAAGAGTATCACAATTCAAATGAAATAGTGACGATAGCAGTATAACTAGTTTGCTGACTGTATCAAGTAGTATTAACTCAAAAGCCCATCAAAGCTTATACAATGATTTGATACATACTTGTAACAAAAAATTTTCTCGCAAAAGTACAGCTATCAAAGGCAGCAATTTTCTCCTGTAACACTACGACGAGAATCCTAAAATTGGAGGGAAAAAAGGAAAAAAAGTAAAACTTCTATGAACCTTAAATCATAAATCAGTTAAATCATCTGTATTTAAAAATAAAACAATTTTTATGCTATTTAAGCTGGGAATTATCTACCTTAGATTTAAAGATATAAGCAAGCAAATCTTTTATATAAGCAGGACAGAAATGACTAGAAAATGTTACTGAAAAAAAGCTATCACCTCAAAAAAAGTTTTTCTCTTAATAAAGTTTAATTTTCCTTCATTTTAAATATATAGCCTTAAGAGTAAATGATATCAACAGAGTTCATTGTTCACTATGTTTCAGAGTTGTGGAATTAAACAAAATGGATTTATATAATCCATCACTTTAAAATGCTGAATTTCTCAACACATACACACAAAGAAAATCTAAGACAAATGCAACTCAGTGTAAATTTCCTGATTCACTCAATTTATTAAAATTTAACTAGAATCAATACAAATTGTCAAGTTTAAAAATTTCTAAAAATCTAGTTTAAAAAATGGTAATTGCAAAGAAATACTTCATATACTGTTTTTTTTCCAAATTGGGTACAGGTAAATATTAAAACACATACTAATAATTACTGAGAAAAGCAAAGATTTAGTATTTAAAATGCATGCTTTATTAATTTGTTCATTTGTTAAAAGTTATATTTGCCACACTAAAAAACTTTTAATGAATAATTACCATTACATTTTTGTGATTATTTTCCCCCCAGGTAGGTTTGTTAAAAGAGTTCTCTGTTTTTAGGGGGTTATTTATTATGACTTATAAACACTCAGTAACAAACTTCGACTATGTTCTGTTGCTATAATAATAGCCCAAGCCATCTTACACATTGCACCTTGATAGAAAAAAAAAAATTTCTGTATGTAAATGTTATTTACCAAGGTCTGTACTGTTCCTTTACACGAATTGTTAATTATCTAGAAAAAATAATCAAATAATTCAGGTGTAGTGCACGTCTATAACTCCAGCACTCAGGAGGCTGGAGGAAGCAGAAAGATTGCTGCGAGTTTGAGGACAGCCTGGGGTACATAGGAAGTTCAAGCCCATCTTGAACTATATAGTGAGACCCTGCCTCAAAAAACAAAACAGGGCCAGGGATATAGCTCAGTGGCACAAGCACCTGCCTGGCCAAGGTCATGAGTTTGATTCCCAGTACCAAAAAAAAAAAAACAAAAAACCCACAATGAGACAAAGAACTCTCAACCTCCCAGTAGTATAAAAATACTTGTAAATATTAGCTTGAATTTCTAATATAGCGTACAGGACTCTGTGTAGGGCTCGCCATACCTTTTTAACAACAAAGCAACAACAAATTTGTAACAAGATGACCCAACTCTGAGTTCTCAAAGGTGAGGCACAGGAGCTGCTGGACTTGCTTTGTCTCAGGGCCCCAAGGAGCACATATGCTGTGAATGTTAAGGCACAGATCCCCTTCACATTTGGGGCTTCCTCTCATTTTCAGCCTTCATAGCGTCTTTTCCTTCATCAACCCAAATACAAAACACAACTCACACACAACTGTAGGAGTTGACAGAGCTCTGCTATAATTCCATAGAGTTCCTTACAGGAGACAGATTTGCCTTGGGTACTCTGTGTACAGCTGAGCCTTCAAACACCCAATTCCTTTTGCTGGCACCTACCCTAATTTGAGAGTCTGTCTTTGTTAAAAACACAATGGGATAAAGATAGGAATTTGGGTTTTGACCTGTCTCAAAAAACTAAAACAAAGCAAAACAAAAAAGAAGCTTTGTTTACTGACAAACACGCGGGGCTGAAATGCAGGCCTGGTACATAGTAGAATATTAACAAATATTAGTTTTGTAAATCCTGAATACAGCTCAGTAAGACAAGATCCAAAAACTAACACATAGTAACAGGAACTTCAAAATCAATGCAACCATGGAGAGAACACTGATTGTTCAGTGGTGAAAAAATAAAACTCTTAATTTAAGAAAACTGGGGTAGGTGCATAGAGGGAATGTACAGTCGGACGAAAATATGTGGATGGATACATGGGATCTAAGACATATATACGTAGGTGTGCAGTTCATTCTACAGGAAGGAGGAGAATACAAACTGAAAGCAGCAGAAGTAACAAAATGGAAGATTTCTTCTGAGTGACAATTCTTCTGCATGCTCCAGGCAAGTCCAGCATACTTCCAATTGTTCTTTCTACACATATAATGTGTTTTATTTTATCTAAGTGTTTTCAAGTTACTTTTAATTTCCCTATGCTGCTATGCTATGTTACTATGATATACCTAGGAATAGTCTTCTTCTTCTTTATGCTACTTGGTGTTCCTGGGGACCTTAAATATATAAATTTATGTTCTTTGTAAAATTTGTGTAATATTTTTAAATTATTTTTTCAAGTAATATTTTCTAACTTATCTTCTTAAATCATCTGCTATTGTCTAATAGATCCATGAGGCTCTGGTATATTTTTCTATTTTTTGATCTCTACTCTTCAAACTGTAAAATTTCTACTGATCTATTTTGTTTTGGTTTGGTTTTGGTTTTGGGGGGGAGGGGTGTCGGGGTTTATTGTTTGTTTGTTTGTTTGTGTGTTTTGAGACAGGGTCTTGCTGTGTAGTTCAGGCTGGCCTAGAACTCACTATGTAGCCCAGGTTGGCCTTGAACTAATGGCAATCCTCCTGCCTCAGCCGCCTGAGTGCTGGGATTACAGGTGTAGACTCTACTGATCTATTTTGAAGATCCTTTCTCTGTTGAGATTTTCACTCAATACAATCATGAAAGTGTGCCTGGAATACACAACTGATGAATTATCAATATGTCTGGACATCAGAAAGGTTAATCCTTTGGTTTGTTTACTGAGTCTATTTGAAAATATCTTGCTATGAGTGATTTAAATTTATTTATATTAACAGCATGATTGATATGTAAGGTTTGCACTCCCCTTTGCAATGTGGAATGTTTTGCCTTTATGGAGGCGAAGGTTTCTAACCCCTCCCCTAATTTCCTTTCTTGGGCTACTTTAATTCTTTCCATGATCACCTATTACTATCTTACTTCCATCTACAGTACTTTGTATTCCTTTTTTTCTATTCCTAACTTTAGTTGTGTCTATATCAGAGTATCTGGTATTTATAAGCTATTCTCTTATTATACCCACCTTTTTAGATCTACACCTTAATCTCCTGCTTCAAAATTGCTTACCACAACTTTTACTATATTCTAGTCATTTTAAATAAGCTATTAAGTCCATCCAACATTCAAGTTTGGGGAAATTAAATCCTGGTGCTTGAAAGAAAGAATATCGAAGAATCTAAAAGTATATCTATCCCAACACAACTGCCTCATATAAATTTTTAAGTGACTCAATTATGGATATCCCTCCAACATTCAGAACATATACTTTCCCTCCCTCTCTCTCAAATCCCCTCAGAACCTCTTAGCCTTAGAGCAAAGGCCTAGTCTCATCATCTACATCAGATCCAAGTACAGATGAGGATCCCTTAGTGTAATTCCTTAAATAAAGCTCAAGTTCAGTTACTCTCAAGCTGCAAATCGTTAATTAAGATGACAAGTCATCTGCCTAAGCATCAAAACAGATCCAAGTATACAACAGTGGGACAGGCCCAGAATAACTGCTAACTTTGAAAACGGCTTATTCAGAGGGCTTAAAGAGGGACAGTGACCAATCTTCCAAGTCAGTGTTGCTGCCTTGTTTCAGTAAGGGTTATTCCATACCTACGCTTTATTACACTTATTTACTTGGAGACAACTTTCCCCTTAAAATTGTCTGCCCCATGAACAAAGGTTGTTTTCCTGATCACATCTATTCCTGCACAGTTCTCAGCCTCTAGTAACTTCTTCTGGCTTCTCTAGTAAGCTACTGGCTCTCTAATGGTTCTAAGGCCTGGTGTATCTGGAAAGAAACCACAATTGATTTTTCTTTCTTCAACATAATCTACGTCACATCACATCTTCCATAGGTTCTTGAACAAGTTCTGCTGGTCTCACATTTGAAATTTCAAGTTATAAGCTAACCATGAGCTACAGATGGTTTTTAAAATTGCTTTTATGTATCTATATGCTTTTTGTAAGAATGAAAATACTGAGATATAGATGACGACAATCTCTGGTGAATCAGAAACTTTTTTACTTAGCTCCCAAAGATTTGCCTCAGACATATTTTGCTATTAATTTTTCTTTTTTTTTTTTTTTGGCACTGGGAATCAAACTCAGGACCTTGCACTTGCCAGGCAGGCACTGTGCCACTGAGCTATATCACAGGCCCTGCTATTAATTTTCAATGATACATAATTACAGACTTTATTTCTTTTCTAATTTAAACTAAGCCCAAAAAAAGTACTTGGGAAGTTTCTATTTTTTCTGTTTTCTAGCATAGTTACGTATTAAAACAAGTAATACAAGTGTGCTCTAAAAATCTCTTTACTTCCTTTTACAGTGTGTTAAGGTTTCTTTTTGGCTCAATAATATGTAACCTAGTTTTCAACAGGACAAAGAAAAGTTTTCTGGGTTAAATGAATTATTTATGGGATCACACCATTCAGTGATATGGTTTACCACTTCTATGTGATTCTGATTAATTTCATGTGCTACCACACCACTACTATGCTGTTTCTTCTATTTCCTTTAACTTTCATGTTTTTTAACTTAAATTCAAATACTTCTAACAATAGTGATATTTGTTTTCTTTACTTTTCATTTACTAGTATATCCTTTTGAAGTATCTCTTTAAAATCTAACCTGAGAATATCTTGTTTCTCTTGAATTTATTGAAATGGCAGAAAGTATTTCAGTTGTATTGCAGATGTTGCTTTCAGATGATAGCATATTTATACCTTATGCTGAAGATTATTGATTAAGGCATTAATCATCATAGGACTTCAGATTATCAAATGTAAAATGAAAGGACTGTGCAATAAGAGTTCAAAAATTTCTTTCTTTTCTTACATTCTGTAGTTAATTTGTCATTATCACTAGGAGTCAGAGAGCAGTTCAGCCTAGATGTAAATATTATCCCAAAACTGTAAAGGAGGAAAATCAATTCAGTGCCTGTTTTAGCTACATATGAAGTGTAAAGCAGTAAAAAAAAAAAAAAAAAAAAAAAAGTTAAAGAATATTTTACATTTAGAAACACACTTTTTAAAAGTTTTAGTGAGTCCTCCCACCAATATCACAATATCACAGCTCACATAACCAATAAATATACAAATACACATAAGCATACACATTCTATATATAAAGGGTTTATCAGGAAAATTAAGCTTTCTATGTTTTCTCAGATATTTTCAATTCTTTTTCCATTTTGTTTTTAAAATTCTGGTTATATCCACTACAGTGAATTCATAATTTCCCAGTGGGTCAAGACTGGAAGTCTGAATATATTTATCAAAATTTACAGCAGCTTTTTCAATGGACACAATTTGGAAGAATTTTCCTTGAGATTATTTCTTAATAAATCGAAGTCATGAAATTACTAGGTTACTAAATTACAATGCCCAGGAGGTATATTACCTAAATGCTTACCGCTTGTTGCAGTGAAGATCATAAATAGGTGTTTTAAACTGAATGGACTTGACCATCTCCCCAGTACGAAGTGAATATAGATCTACACAGCAATAAGATGGACTTGTGCTAGGAGAAAAAAGAAGTATTTTTAAATAGGAAGGCTAGGATGTAGCTCAATGGTAGACTGCTGGCCCTGATTTTGATCTCAACACCATGGGAGGAGGGTATCTCCAATAAACCATGCCTTTTTCTAGTGCAATACTAAAATCCCTTATTAACATGATATTAGCAAACCGATTCAAACTTTACCAAAAATATGACCATAATAGATGACCATTCAATTTAATGTAGGGAATGGAAAAATAAAAAAAAATTAAGGGGATGGAAAAATACATATATATCATTCAGAAAATAATACTACGCAGAAAAAACTGCCTGCATGATTACCTCAATAGAATCATAAAAGTATTTGAGAATTTTAAAACACATTCATGACAAAAAATTCCTTCATCTGATAGAGTACTAGATTTAAAACTAACAAAATTAGCAAGAAAATATATAATTACACAGTACTGGAAGGTTTTACCCTGGAAAAAAGACTCATTTTAAACATCATGACTGAACAGAGTAGGACACATTCTGTACATAAGTTAAGAAAAGTAAACGTTACAAAGAAAAACTAGAGCCACCATTGTTTGCTGAAAATCCGATTATACAAAGCCCAACAGTACATATCTATAAGTAAAACCACATATACAGATAAGCACACTCAATAAACTCATAGCTGATTTAATCAAGGTCACTAGATTCTAGGTTAACATATAAATATTACCTGTATTTCTGAAAAATAACAAAATTAGAAAATAGAATTTTAACATACACAATGTCATTAAAAATCAAAGCTTTGAATACACTGAATTAAATGTAAAGAAATATTTTAATATATTTATTCGAAACGGAATAAAATGGTCCAGGTATTTAAAAGAAGCAGAGGCAGGGGCCAGGGGTATAGCTCAGTGGTGCAGCGCCTGCCCGGTGAGAGTGAGGTCCTGAGTTTGATTCCTCATACCAAAAAAAAGAAGAAGAAGCAGAAGCAGAAAGATCAAAAGTTAAGAGTCCAGACTGGACTAGAACCTGTCTCAAAATAAACAATAGCAAAAGTTTTCTTTAAAAACTAAATAAAATACTATAACCTGAAAGTTTCTCTACATAGATTTTAAAGCCTCATCAAAGATCTATCAGATGAGAACTAAATTTAAATAACATTGGAAATGAAAAATATGGTATGCATGGAATTGCACTTTATATAATATGAATTATTACAAAGCTATGAGAATTAACACAATGTGCTCTTCAAACAAGGACAGATTAACAATTCAATATATCCACCTAAAGTAAGTAGGAAAATAAAGACTAAAATGTAAGGCATGGAACTTAAAGAAATCATAGGAAAAAAACTAGAATATTGGAATGAGCAAGGATTATATGGACAAGGTTTCAAAAGCAAAAATACATAAATAGGATGACATCAAACCAAAGAGCTTTTATATAGCAAAGCAAAGGAAACAATCCATAGAACAAGGAAACAATCAACAAAATGAGAGGAAAAAAACTGAAAACCATAAAGCTGATACACAGAATATATAAGGAAGTCAAAAAGTCACAGTCAATGGAAAAAACACACAATTTAAAAATAAAAGCGCTAGAACCAAAGATATTTCCCAAAAGATACACAGATGGCCAACAAGAGAAATGCAAATTGAAACAATGAGAAATACCCTCATCCAACTTAAAAATGGTTATTATTAAAAAGATTACACCAAAATAAAAAGACTACATCAAACAAGTAGTGGTGAGGATATAGAGAAAAGGCATCTCTTGTACCCTGTTGGCAAGAATCTAAATTAGTATATCCATTCTAGAAAAAAGTATGGAAGTTAATCTTAAAACATTTTAAATATGAACCAAATTAAACCTCTCCTCCTTTAAAAAAATTAAAAATAGATCTATATACGATCTACAATCCTTTGGGTATATGCCTAAAAAATATAAAATGAGCATGTGGGAGAGACGTCTGCACTCCATGTTTATTGTAGCACGAGTCACAATCGCTCAGACATGGAAACAACCAAAGTACCCATCCACTGATGAATGAATAAAAAAAGTAGCATATATACACAATGACATCCTGTCATTAGCAACAAAACAGATGGAATGGGAGGCTGCTTGTTAAGCGAAATAAGCCAGGCACAGAAAGATAAGCACTCCCATGATCTCACTCATATGTGAAAACCAAAAAAGGTCATCTCATAAACACGAGAAGCAGAATGGTGTCTACCGAAGCTGGACTCACAGGAGGTAGGGAGGGATAAAGAAAGCTGGCTAGCGGGTATTAAATTATGGTTAGACAGCAGCAGGTTCTGGAGTGGTTCTGGCAGTAGGGGAACTCTAGATAACAATAATGTGTTGTGCACTTCAAATAGGCAAAAGATCACATTTTTAACTTTTCACCATAAAGATATGATAAATGTTCAAGGGGATGCACAGTGTATGAGAGCATCACACGTTCCCATAAATGTGTACAACTTTCAAGTTAAAAAAAAAAAGTAGGAAAAAAAAAAGTAGGAAAAAAAGAGCAAATTAAAACCAATGAAGACAGAATGAGAACTGAAAATGAAACTAGAAAAAAAAAAAAAACAGCGAGTAAGCAAGAAAGAAAAAAATCAAAACTAAACCTTGAAAATATAAAAATATTTTTTCAAAAATCACTTGATATTTTTGAAAATAGTAAATAATTGCTCTCTCTAGTCCAAGTGGTCGAGAAAAATGAGAAAGACAAATAAACATAAAGAAAGAAACAGCAAATATGGCCCAAACAAATCCCCGAATGTGTGCAAACTGGCAAGTCCTGAAAAAACCTTGCAAGGCCAACTGATTTTACTCAGTGGTATAATTAAATGATAAGACACTCTTTGGATTAAAAGATGCTAAATGTACAATAGTGTGCAAAAATTAAAAGGCTCTCTGGGGAAGCTGCCTTGAGTTCAAGGTCAGCCTGGGCTCATCAGTTCAAGGCCAGCCTCAAAAACACAATGAGATGTTGGTCTCAAAAAGCCGAAACATAAACAAAACACAAAAATGTATCACAGATCTTAAAACAGATTAGCCAAAATTATACAGTATCTACTATAAAATAAAGCAGAGAAATTTCTTATTTATTTCTGAAACAGACGAGAACACATGAAAACACACATGAGAAGTGACCAAAACACACAATGAAGGTTTAAATTTCTAAATATTTATTACAGTGAAAGACACATTACCATTACTCCCCCACAGACTCTGCCCCCACTCTTCTAATCTATCCCATCTTTCTTGACACTTTCAGAAGCAGTTCTGGAAGTCTTCTCTGTCTTTAGAAGGTGTGATCAAAAATACAATGAATGCTGCTACCA